AGTGGGTTTTACCCACAAAAGCTCATGATTCAGTATATTTTTGTTAGACTCTAAGGTGCCACAGTACTACATGGTGTTATCCAGTACATCACATCATCGGTTTACAGGAAACCACCGCCTTACAAAAATGGTCATAAGTGCGGGGAGTCACAACTCAGGCCATTGTAAGTGCAGAAGGGGCTGAAAACCCCCGACTTACATCCTCGTCCCGCATTAACAATGGCACACGGCATCTATCGTAAATGTGGGTTTGAGTTACGATGCCCCCGACAGGGGCCGCCTGTAACGAATTAAGATCTGCATCCCCAATTCCTCCAACTCCATGAAGCCTCCAAACATCCATTTCTTAGCCCACTATGTCAGTTCTTCACCAGAAGTTATGTGGCTGGATGCAAGCTAGGGATATGAATGACTAGTTGACTATCTGACAAGCAAATGCTTATCAGATAGCCGACACAAACAGCTAGTTGCTTCCCCACCCTTGCTGCCTCTATCAAAAAGAGGCGGCGGGGGGGAGGGGAGAGAAGGGGAAGAGGTACTTCAAATGCTGCGTGCATCCTGGGACCAGCTGGGGGCTTCACACAGCATTTCAAAGCGGCAGCACCATGTGGAGCCCGGAGTCGGCTGGGGACTCTCCCGCTGACCATGGGCTCCATGCAAAGCTGCCACTTTGAAACGCTGTGTGGAGCCTGACGCCGGGTTCCCCGCAGTGTTTTAAAGCAGCAGTGCCACATGGACCACAGGGTCAGCTGGGGACTCTGGGAGCTGCATGCAGCGTTTCAAAGCGGCAGCACCACATAGAGCCCATGGTCTGCCACTTTGAAACACCGCATGCAGCACAGGCCCAGCTGGGGACGCCCCTGCTGGCCCCAGGCTTCATACGGCACTGCCACTTGGAAACACCATGGGGAGGACAGGACCAGCGAGGGACTGCTTGAGTCCCTGCTTTGGCCCCATGCTTCCTGCAGTGCTTTCGCCTATGAAGTGTAGCAACAGCCCTCAGGCTGTTGTTATACTTCAAAGTCAGAGGCACTCTTATTGACTAATTGAACAGTCATTGCATTGACTATTCGATTACCCAATTAATCTAAATTTAACATCCCTAATATAGGCTCCACTCAAGGGAAAGCAGAAGAGAGGCTGAAAAATTAAATGCAGCAGCTCCCCCAACAGGACTGTTTGCCTAATGCTTTCTGTTTTGTCCGATGATGCAGGTGAATGCTCACATGACTGGACATTTCACTCACAGTGCTGCAGGGTTCCAGATATGTGAACAGAACACTGAGCCACTTGTGGGATCCTACAACACCGGAGCCACAAGACAGGATTGTCAAAACTTTTTAGAGTAACAGATTGTGAAGAACCCAAGACGCTCAACTATCTCAGCTCCTAAAATTGTGACACAGTAATTATGATTTCCTGACTTACATTTCAGAAATGCATATTTTGTTCTGTATGAATTATCAGGACTTAAATAAACAATTTAAAAATAAGTGAATGTAGATGAGCAACAGAAACAAAATTTCAAAACAGGTAGAAGATATACACAAAAACATATACACAATTATGCCTAGAAATGTAGGTATACAATTAGAGAAATTTGCACATGCAAATTAAGTAAATACAAAATAATGTATTTGGATACCCTGTTGTTGAAAAGGAAGTGTATGTGTCTATAAATTTTTAGTCTTTTTGGTGATGTAACCATTAAATAGTCATTGTAAATGTTTCTAATACATTTTCAAAGTTCACTTAGAATGACTGGAAAATTATTGTCAACTCCCATTTATGAAAGATAAAACTCAACTGCATCTGTCTTTCCCTCAAGAGAATCAAATGCTACAAAATAATTATATTTGTTAATTGAACATCCAATAGCTAATTTCTTAATTTGAGGAGTCTACCTGACTTCCTTTCTCATCCTCCTTTGTCTGTTATTTTATTGGGTTAAATTGATTATGCTCATCTTGAATCTAAACACTGGCCCTTACTATACTAATTTGGGGGTTCTTAATGCTGTTTCCTTTTCAGTGTAATTCTCATCAAATTCACTTTGAGTTAGCCTCTTACTTGAAGACTTCATGCTCATATACTCACAAATGCTGCTCAGCTCTAAGGGTGTAGTTAAAGTAACTGAAGTAAACATAGTTAAGTGAGATAAATGTGCTTATACCATTATTTTCCTTCTCATAAGAAAATACACTTTAAACTATACTGGTATAAGGCACCTCTGTAACACTTTGTGTTCATACATAATTATTTCAGTAAAAATTCACATCTGTATCTGAAATATTTATGTAAGTATAACAACTTTCAAGTTTAGACTAGAACTAGCTGCTAATGAGATATAAAATGTTACAATTAACATGGGAAAACATTTTTTCACTTACTTTGCACTAATTTTCACCAGCCCCTGCTGGTTAACCTTCACTGCTAAGCCTCACCCTTAACCAAAGGTCCATCTAGCCCAAGATCCGGTCTGCCAACAATGGCCAATGCCAGATGCTCCAGAGGGAATGAAAAGAATAAGTAATCATAAAGCGAGCCATTCCCTGTTTCTGACTAACAGAAGCTAGGGACATCATTCCTACCCATTTTGGCTAACAGTCATTGATGGACCTATCCTCTATGCATTTATCTAGTTCTTTTTTTAACCTTCTTAAAGTCCTAGTCTTCATAACATCCTCTGGCAAGGAGTTCCACAGATTGTGCACTGTGTGAAGGAATACTTCCTTACGTTTGTTTTAAACCTGCTACTTATTCATTTTATGTAATGACTCCTAGTTCTTGTGTTATGGGAATAAGTAAATAACTTTTCCTAATTTATTTTCTCAACCCCAGTCATGATTTTATGGACCTCTATCTTATCCCCCCATAGTCTCCTCTTTTCTAAGGTAAAAGTCTTATTAATCTCTCCTCATATGGCAGCTGTTTCAAACCCTTGTTGCCCTTTTCTGAACTTTTCAATGCCAAGAAACCTTTTTTGAGATCACGTGACCACATCTGCATGCAATATTTATATTGAAGCAATATTCTGTCTTATTCTCTCTCCCTTTCTTAACATAGTTTGCTTTTAACTACTGCTGAACATTGAGTTTTTAGAGAACTATCCACAATGACTCCAAAATCTCTCTCGAGTGGTAATAACTAATTTAGTCCCCATAATTTTATGTGTATAGTTGGGATTATGTTTTCCAATATGCCTTACTTTGCATTTATCAACATTCAAATTCATTTGCCTCTTTGATATTTGCCACTTTGTTGCCCAGTCACCTAGTTTTGTGAGATCTTTTTGAAGTTCTTCATACTTAACTATCTTGAATAGTTTATTAAATCCTCAAATTTTGTCACCTCACTGTTTATCCCGTTCTCCAGATCATTTACGAACATGCTGAATAGGGTTGGTCCCAGTATAAACCCCTACAGGGTCGTTACCTCTCTCTGTTCTCAAAACCTACCATTTATTCTGACCCTTTGTTTCCTATCTTTTAACCAGTTATCCCATGAGAGTGCCTTCCCTTTTTTTCCCCAGGAAATGGGAGCTGCAGGAAGGGGTGTCCCAATTAGAGCAGCTTCCCACAGATCCTATTGGCCAGGAATGTCCAACCTGTGGACGCGTTGATAAATAAAGCATCTTTAACCCCGGTGAACCACATTCAGTCCATGGGGCCACTTACTGCCCACCCCTACTCCAGGGCAAAGATTCTCTCTTTTCTAGTATCTAGGATAACAGTGCTCCTATTCTGACTGGAGCCTCTGAGTGATACCATCATATTTAGTGCTAACAACTACAGTATAATAGAAAATGAAGATACAGATTAACTCTTAAAAATTCTGTATCCTTGTAAATATCCCATGTAATAAAGGGAGAAAAATACTAAACACTACAGCAAGAGTTAAGCTTGCATATGTGTATCCATTTTAGATCTGTTTCCAAGTGCCTACAAAATGTCCTTAAAAAGTTTCAGTTTGGAAGCTTGAAATTGTCCATGTCTGGTCTCCATGTCAAGAAGTGCCTTGTAATGCTGAAATTCTGCTTGCAACAACAGATCCATTACTGAACACTATTGGAGACCAGAGTCTACCTAAAGAAAGAACATAAAATCTTGTTTTCCCACATTCCCTAATCTTGCCATTATATTAACTTCGTTATAAAGCAACTTTCAAAGTGGGTGGCTGCATAGGTCAGTGGAGTGGGAGGAAGCAGTAATCAGCAATGCAGACAGGCTTCAGTCTCCATCGCTGTTCAATGGCAAGTGTGTAATGACCCAGAACAATACATGCTATGGTGTTGCATCAAACAGGAAATACTGAAAAAGTCTGCATATTGTATTTCAGAGAGGGAGAAGGGGAACAGTAAATGTGCAGTTCATTAGAAGCATGCCAAGTACTCCTAAACATATTTATTTGCGGTAGCAGGTGCACATCAATAAATATTTAATTTTAGGTTTTTTTAAATAAATGTATTACTACTGCACAAGTCTGTAAAGATAATGACCTGATAAAACCTACCTAATTAAAACATCACAGGTCTCAGAAAGTAAAGCTTAACCGGTATTTACCATACAATATTCATATATTCAAAAACAACACTTTTTAAAAGGTATCAGTGTTACATGATAACCATTTTCGTAAAACACACTTCTATCCCTGCAGAATAATATAATTGAATACTTTACAGTGTATTTATAAAGCCATCACAATAGCACCTGAACACCTAATTTTGATATCATGTTGATAAGTAACAAAACTGACATTGTGATGAACACATCCATTTTACATTCAAGTAATACTCTGGGTAAGACCCACTGTTTGGTCAATAAACAGTATTACTAAACATATTTATTGAGGTAATACCTTGGGGACAAAAAGGGCAGCCCCACTGTGCTAAGGAGTACTCTAATAAAAGAAGAGTTCCACCAATAGTCCATTTTTGAGCACAGGACCTGAAAACAACTTCTATTATCCCTTTCGCAGCTTAAGTAAAACGGAGTACCTACCTGTTGTGACACTAGTCTTCCTTAATAACACAGGCCACTTCCACAAACAGTGAGTCCCTGGGATTTACCTGTAACAAATTGGCAGTAAAAAGTTTGTTAATTTGTTTCACTACATTTGCTTAAGATGTGTCTTCTATGAAGAGCTGAAAATCGCCAACTAGCACAAAGGTCGGTCGGTCACACACACACACACACTCTCTCACTCTCCACCTCCCTCCAACAAATCTTGTGAAGTGCGGGGAGCTCTGGACTCCCACTCACTTCACTGGAGATGAGGACATGCGGCATCTTTCAGCCAAAAGACAACTCTCACTACCTCTGTGTGCCAGAGAAGTTACACTTGCAACGCAACCAATGGGAGGGCCGCTAATAGACCAGGGGGAGACAATCTAGCCGCACCCCGAGCCAGCCGAGGGGCTCTTGTGCCCAGAGGCAGGAGTATTTCCGAAGATCACCAGGGAAGTGACACTGAACCACGCCCCGGGACCTCCCAGCCTGCGAACTGCCAGGCAGCAGCGAGCCGTGCCCAGGCAGGGAGCGAGCGAGGGGCCGCGCCGCACCCCCGAGCCACCTGAATGCGAGGCAAAGCCACCTGCCAAGAGCGGGCTCGCTGCCGGCGCACGGGACGGGCTCGGGCTCTCCCCCGCGCACTATCGGTCGCAGGGGCCCGGCTCCGGGTACAGCGCCGAGCAGCGGGGCGGGTCTCTCCTGCGGGAGGCGCTGGGGACGGACTGGACCGCCCCGCCCAGCACAAGGTCCAGGTTGCAGCGGGGCAGCCGCCGTCCCTTCTTACCGCGCTCGAGCTGCCGCCTCGCTCCGGATCTCTTCAGGCGGCCCCCCCTCCCTGCCCCGGATGTTGATGTGGGCTGAGCCCGCCCCGGAAGTGACGTCGGGCGCTCCGCCGGAAGCAGACGTGGCCGGTGGCTGGGGGGCTGCCGGCTCTCTCCGGATCGGTCCCGCCGGGCGGAATGGGGCAGTGCCGGCTGGGCCTGGCGGCGCTGCTGGCGCTGCTGGGCGGGGTTCGGGCCGGGGGCGGCGGCCGCGCCCTCTCGCAGCTCAGCGATGACATCCCCTTCAGGGTGAACTGGCCGGGCACCGACTTCAGCCTGGTCAGTGCGGCAGCGCCCGGGCGGGCGGGGGGGGCTGTGGCCAGAGGAGCGCCGGGATCAGAGCTCCTCAGACTTCATCCCACCGCCTCCCTCTCCCGACACGAATTGCTCCTCGGGGCCCGGCTTGCGCTGGGCTGCGCGCGGGACCCCTGGCACCATTGCTCAGAGCAGTGACCTGAATTCTCCCGTTCCCGCCCCGCAACGCGCTCGGCGAGGGGACCAGGGTGTGGAGCGTCCGGGGCAGGCGGCTTGGACATAGGCACAGCATGACTCCTCATGTGGGGGCAGGGACTAAAACCTTATGGCAGAGCAGGGGTGCCAAGCCATTCAGCCTGTCTCCGTGGTAGCAGGGCAGCGAGGCTCAACCAAAAAGTATAATGTAAAGGTGGGGGCCAGCTCAAAGAGTTTCAAAACAAGGTGCAAGGAAGGAGTAGCTCAAGGTGTAGAAAGAGGGATTGTTACCGGCCGTGCAGTCTGAATGTAGCCTACCATGTAGAGAGCAGGAGCTGGAGGCTGTGTGTGGACAGGGAGTAGCTCAGGGTATAGGGCGGGGATAGTTCAGGGTGCAGGAAAAGGTATCTGGGGCGATGTGCCTGTGGAGTAGCTCAGGGTTCAGGCAGAGGTTAGCTAGTGGCTGTGTGCAGACAGTGAGTAGCTCAGTGTGTAGGAAAGAGGTAGGAAGGGATTGTGTGGGGACAAGGGGTAGCTTAGAGTTCAGGGAAAGGGTAACTAGAGGCTGTGCTCCAGTATTATTACCCTGCAGTGTCTGTTCCCTGCTGTCTAGGACTAGTAATTGTTTTTGTAGTAGTGTTTTAAAATGTTTATTTGATTTGTTTTTGTTGTACTTTTAGCCTACAACTGGTGTTTTGTACAAAGAAGATAATTACATCATTATGACAACTGTCGATAAGGAAAAGTATAAATGTATACTTCCACTGATAGCAAATGGAGATGAGGTAAGCTTACATTGTTACAATTAGTTGTAGTTACAGATTGCTAGTGACACATCTATAAAATTTTCTTTCTTTTTAAAACAAAATTCCTGTGCAAAATATTTCACAAAATGGCAGTTCTATAATTAAATGTGTTAATTGTAGATATGGTCCACTTTGATCAATTTAGTGGTTGGAAGGGGGTGTTAAAAGTAGTCAGCTTCATGTTTTAACCTGTTTGAATGTGAAATTTTACTGTGTTGTAACTGGGGAAGTCCCAATCCAAAAGATACCCAGAAATGGATCTGATATCCCTGCCCTTCTCAGAGCTGCCATGCAAAGAAAGAACAAGTCCTCTTCTTCCCCAGCCCTGCTGGGACTTGCAGCTAGAAGCCCCCTGACTGGGGCTGCCTGGCAGCAAGAGGAAGATCAGGTTTCATGGCGAAAAGCTTGTTTAATGGTCCTTAACACAATTTTTTACAGCCATGAAATTGATAGAGCCCTAATTCTAGACAATATGGTAGTTCTGCTCTTGATGGGTTTGGTGTGAACTAGTCCTGATAGCCTTATTTAGACAGAATAATTGATAAATTAGCTAGTCTCAGTTATGTCCCTTAACTCCAGGGCTGCAGATACTTATACTATCTTCTTCACTAATATCTGAACACCTTCAACTACTAGTGCATTAAGAAGTGTGAGTAACATTCTGTGTGTCACTCATTTTCTCTGCAGAGAAACAATTGTGTGTGTAATGTTGTGTTTTGGTAGGGCATTGGTTTTTAGTGTATACGCAGCTCTGTGTTTGCATTGGAGAAGGCAGATCAAAATATTCCTGGCATTTTCAATCGGGATGTTAAAATGTATGTAATTAAATAACTGTATAGCCGCTGAAAATGTCAACAGTTATATGCGGGGCAGCAATAGACTCTCCAGGAGCTGGTGCACATGGGGAGCTGGCTTTTGCACATACTGGCTCCCACCTGCCTTCCCATGCTCCTCCCTTGGAAACGAATTATTCACATCGAAGTTTAAATGCTTGTATATTATTTTGTCATCATCAGGTTGAGTGCTAGTACTTCTAAAAATACAAAAAAGTCACATTTCTATAATTCTGTAATTCCTGGATTTGTTTGACTGCTTTATTTATGACTATATTTTTCTTCAGTGTCCCTTCCTAATAGCTACAATTTAAAGATTATTTTAATCACCGTACACATATTATTGGAGATTTCAGTATCTTAATCTTTGCAAGTGTTTTTTCTTATTCAAGTGAATTATCTGACATTAAGTTTTAAGACTATATATATAGCTAAAAGTGTGATGCTTTTTTTTCTTCTAGGAAGAAGAAAAAGATTATAAAGGGCCTAGTCCAGGAGAGTTGTTGGAACCTCTTTTCAAACAAAGTAGTTGTTCATATAGAGTATGTTCTTTCTGTTTTCACTCAAATTTGAAAATTACCAGAATAAAACATGTTACAGATGTTAAGGAGCCAGGTATTTGGCAAATTGTGTAGTTGACACAGTTTTCTGACAGGCTCTTACTGCATTTAAAATGCAGAGCTGCAGCATAAGTGGCTCCCGGAGCTGGCACGAGCCAGGACTGAGCAGTCCCAGCTTGTGCCAGCTCAAGGACTGCTGCAGCTCTGCCTCCCCTGCCCAGGATTAGGGAGGAGAGGGTGGGGAAGTGAGTAGTTGAGTAGTGACTTCAGTAGTCACTTACATCCCTAAACCATGTACATTTCAACCTATTTTAATGTTTATTGTAGTCAACTCTAATAAATATGTATGTGGGATTCCATTCAGCCATTAAAGCAAGAATATTTTATAAACTTCATTAGTGTTAATATTATTGCTGAAAAAATTGCATTCTACATTAAGTAATTGTAGATAAAGTGAATATACTAACAGTTTGTCATCATGCTTCCAGTATGGTCAAACCACACTACAGGACATTTTGTGGTTACAAAGCCTGCCTTGGATGTATAACAAGGCTAAAGGATAAGTGCCTCCAGAAACCCCAGAAGTTTGTCTTGATAAACATAACTTATTGACAGAGCTCGCCAAGCGGCGGTGAGTCCCGCTCACCAGCCACACAGTTCGGCACGCTGCGCATGCGCTTACCGTGCTGTGCAGCTGTGCCGGCTTGCAATCTACTCGCCACGGGCGAGTACGTTACACTAATTGTCAAGCCCTGCTTATTGATATTACTACTTTTTTTTTTAAGTTGTTGCATTTTTAAACCTGCCCAATAAACGCTGATAAGTGGGATGGAGCAGATTCACTTACCATTACAGGCCTTAACTATTTAGAATTCTTTTACAGGATGAAATTCACCAGGGTACCTAGCTCTCTCCATTTGTCCTAGGCAGAGTAGGCTATGAGCAGGGTAGGGACAACCTGTTGGATTGGGTGTAGGTGAGCTAAATACCTGCCTCCAAGCAAGCTAGCACTGAGAATGGACCGTCAAGAGTACACTCAATACCTATTACTGTTCCAGTACGGTGGTCCAACGCCCTCATGCAAGTGGCAGGGGAAGGGAGGTAGGCTGCAGCTAATAATTCAGCCTATAGTTCATAGCAGCGGCCACAGCAGGTTTATGCTGCTAACTCACAATATGGCTCCGTGTTGGTGGAGATGTATTTGCCTCCCACCACATGAAAGATGAGGGGGGAAAACCCCAGTAATTTCACCCATTATTCATATATGGGACACACTTAATATTGCTGGAATGCTGAGAGAACTCATTGCAGATTTTTGCTACTTAAATCGTCCTTCTGTCAAGGGGTTGATTTTGCTACCCGTCGATCAAAATTATGTCAAAGTTTTGGAAAATGTTGATTGCCCAACTCTTGTGTTGCTGACTAAAATGTGAATATTTTTTAGATTGAATCTTATTGGACTTATGAAGTTTGTCATGGAAAACATATTCGTCAGTACCATGAAGAGAAAGAAACGGGCCAGGTATGTGTCTACAATCTTATGAGTCCCAAACAAAAAATAGAAGACTTTAGAACTGACACTTTGATGCTGAAGTTACCACAAATGAATTCTGACAGGGCTGAACAGAAAATGCCCTTGAAGCTTAT